ACATCTCAGGGTTTCTCCCCGTCTCCACAGATGGCAGCGTGCTGACCTTTGACCCCCGGACGGCCCACAAGCGCATCGCGCTGAGCGAAGGCTTCACCAAGGCCTCGGTGTCCGACGAGCACATGGACTACCCGGACTGCGCCCAGCGGTTCTCCGTCTGCTCCCAGGTGCTCACCTCCAAGGGCTTCTCCGCCGGGCGCCACTACTGGGAGGTCCGGCTGAGCAGCAACAACTTCACCGGCCTGGGCCTGGCCTACGGCAGCATCGACCGCAAGGGCCCCGCCAGCCGTTTGGGCCGCAACCACCTGTCCTGGTGCGTGGAGTGGTTCAACGTGAAGCTGTCCGCCTGGCACAGTAGCAGCGAGACGGTGCTGGCCAACCCCAGCCCCAAGCGCGTGGGCGTGCTGCTGGACTGCGACCAGGGCCGGGCCACCTTCTACAACGTGGCCGACAGGGCCTACCCCTTCCACAGCTTCCAGTTCCCCTGCACCGAGCCCGTCTATCCGGCCTTCTGGATGTTCTCAAGCGGCTCCTTCATCACCATATGCAAGCTGCAGTAGCACACGCAGCTTGCCCTCTCTTTGATTACTTAACGCTAAAGTTCGGAAAGTTCTGGAAGTGTAGATGAAACAATAATTTTTTGCTAAAGTTCGGAAAGCTCTGGAAGTGTAGATGAAAACATTAATTAGTGCTAAAGTTCGGAAAGTTTTGTAAGTGTAGATTAAACCATTAATTAATGCTAAAGGTCAGAAAGTTCTGGAATTGTGGATAAAACTAGGGCTTTTTCGATTTCGAAAAAAAATACAACATAGTGATTTGTTTCATATCACAATATAAAATCGAAATCGAACATTTTGGGGAATGAACATCGAAATAATAAACGTCAGAAAGCTCTGGAAGTTTAGATGAAACCATCAGTAAACTAAAGAAGGACGTCAGTGATGGGTTCAGGGTTCATCTGACTCAGGGGACTCAAACTCCGGTCCTGTTTGGGCCGCTGTCCTGCAGGTTTTAGACGTTTTCCTGCTTCTGGACACCTGATTGTGACTAAATCTGATCTCCTCTGGACGTTGTTGAGCTTTCCACTGGTCTGCTAACGGCTCTTTGAGGTGAAGCCGGTGTTTTGAAACAGGGTTACCTCTAAAACTCTGACTCTGAGTTCCCTGATCTAACTGGTTTGTGGTGTTTTTGTCCATCCTGAGATTAAACTCGCTATATAGTTGGGATGGATCGGGTATAAGGTTTTTTTTTTCTAATCCATTTGTTCAACGGCATACTCGGCTGGTTTAGATTGGTTAAAAACACCCCTGGATGTCCTGAGCTTTCAGTAAAAAGGAAGTTTAAGCTCTCTGTTGTTTCCTATTGGCTCTAACACCAAAACGCCACCATTAGCTGGAGTCAAATGCTCAATCTCACAGAAAAAGGAGAAGAAATTAAGGATATTACTGTCCAGAAACAGACCAAGACATCTCATAGCCATCACCGCTAGCAAGTTACTCTGGCCTGAACTGTACTTGTTGATTTTCAGAGGAATATTCTGCCAAGTATGCCTTTGACCAATGTATTTGGACTCTTTTTAGCATTTATTTGATATTAGCTTTAGCGTTAGCTTGCTCTCTTGTTTCTCGTGTATAAGACTCTGCCCCCCTTAGAACAAAGTGGATGTTAGAGTTGATGGCATTTTGTCGTAAATGTCTTTAGCTCTTCTTTTCCTGGTCATGTGACCAGAAAAGAGAATCTGGAAGTGCTTTTAAATAATCGAGTAAAAAGCGCTTTTGACATCCTGTTTGTGTCTGAGCTACGCAAACTAGAAACTATATGAGAATCATTTAAAAACTAATTGGTTTTTAAAGCAACGTCTCATATTAAGAGGGGCTCATCTATTGATCCTGATTGGATAACGGATGAGGAATATGCGGATCTAGAGTGTTAGCTTGGTGTTAGCGGGGTAAGTTAGCTTGTGGAGCTAGCTTAACTGGTTTAGGGTCATATCTGATTTCTCATCCATTTGTACTTTAATCTTCCTGGTAAATAATCATTTTGTGATTATTTACCAGCTCTGCTCGTACGATTTACTTAACGCAGCAGTTTTGTTCACCCAAACCGGCATTTTT